CGCCTCAAAATGAATAAACATTAAAAAAGAAATAATATAAAAGGACAAGAGAGGGGCGCCTGGGTGGCGCAGTCGGTTAAGCGTCCGACTTCAGCCAGGTCACGATCTCGCGGTCCGTGAGTTCGAGCCCCGCGTCGGGCTCTGGGCTGATGGCTCAGAGCCTGGAGCCTGTTTCCGATTCTGTGTCTCCCTCTCTCTCTGCCCCTCCCCCGTTCATGCTCTGTCTTTCTCTGTCCCAAAAATAAATAAACGTTAAAAAAAAAAAAAAGGACAAGAGAGTTGAAGAGTGATGGAAGGCCCTGATCTACCTCATCTGCAAGTCGGGGTCCTGTTCCCTCTCTACTGCCACAGCCAGAAATTACGGCTCCCGTTTTGTTTCTTAGGCTGCTCTTCAGGCTGTTTCATGTCTTTTCTTGCGTGATGGTATCAGCAGTTTGTGTATAGACAATTTGTAAATGTTTATACGTTTATTTAATCTGCAAGAATCTATTGATCACTTGCTATGGGGTTAACACGTCGGTAAGTGCTACATGAGCACAGTGACAGAAGACCTACGTGCTGGTCTTCCCCAGGTTCCATCTTGTCGCTCCTCTGATGTAACCTCCTTCTCTGAGGCATCTCGTCCATACCCAGCCATGATGCTGACTCCCAAATCTAAATTTCCAGTCTAGACCGATCTCCTGAACTTCCTATGTCCAACTACTCCCTAGTATCATAGGTGCCTCAAATTTAACAAATCCAGAAAGAAATTTCAACTCCCAGTTCCCCCCACCAAGTTATTTCCCATACCAGAGATGAATGATGACACCATGATCCATCCAGTTACTATGCTGAGACATCATTTAAATGGTGGTCCTCTGAAATATTCTGTAAAAGTGCCCAGAATTTCAATTCATGTCACTGCTTAGGGTTTCATTGATTTCCATTTTGGTTAACATTTTAACCAATCTTGAGCCAAATTTTTAACTGCCTAATGTCATGATAAGGGCCTTCAGTTCTTCTAGAGTAGATGTAAAAAGAACATCTTATACGTCTCATTCTGTATGTATTTAGCTCCTTTACTCTTTAATATTCTTATGTATTTCAAAAGAGAAGAAATATTTAAATCTTCTCTCCAAATTTATTTTAATTCTGAAAACTTCATAATTTGTTGGTTCAAAATATCAGGAGCAATTTGAGAGTTTCTGATACTATATTCCTGCTGAAAATTGCCCTTCCTTAGGAAGCTTACCTTGACCAATCATCCCTAAGAACTCATGTTCTGTTAAGAATCTGTGCATTATTTTGGTACTTAAATGGCATGCAATTCTGTTCCTTCTATGCTGTTTCACATATCTTCTCTTCAACTTGATTTTAAGTTGTTCCTTTCCAAAGTGCTTAAACAGGGGAATATGCACACAGTAGATGACCGATAGTCAGTGAATGAACCATGTATAGAAAACATCTGCTTCCTTTTGCATCCTGTACTAACTCGAAAGGAAAGAAAAACAGATCTAAATGATACAAACACCTTTTCCAAAAGTTTAAGCCCAAATTTTCCTCATGATGTAACTTGACCTACAACAGTACAATGAAAAGACCATTAGTTTATGAAGTAGGAGACTGGGCTACTGATCTACAAACCAACACTATGAAGCTTTAAGTACTGAATTCATCTTCCTGGACCTTTAAGTTTCCTGATCTGTAAAAATAAGAGTAAAAGCTCTCTAAAGATCTGAAAATTCTAGGAACCTGGATAATAAAAGTTCTGCATCATAAGTAAATGTATAAGTAGGGAGACGGAGCAGACCACATGAGCTATAATTGTGCTGTGTTCAAGCACCTGAAATAAGGCTTGTTGGGAGACATGGTGATCTGTAGGACCTCACTCGTCATATCCAATTCGGAAAATGCTTCACGGAGCCCCTCTGACTGCAGAATAATTTTATTAATAACATTGGTGCTGCAGAAATCAAAATCCAGAGTCTCCTCAGGCTCCTGAGTATTGATTTTACAGACTGTCATCACCCCTCCTTCTTCCAGAAAGAGCATCAAAGGGTAACCATAACCTTGGTAACACATCCGCAGTGCAGTTAAAGTCCCTGCAATGGAAATAAATCAAAGTTTGAGCTTAGCTTTATAGTACAGGTTCAGCTTCTCCTTAAATGACACATGAAACTCCTGAAGATTATTTTATTCTGCCCAATTTTTAGCACATATGTATTTCTTTAGAAGGAAGGATCGTATCTTGGATAACTGATGACAGTTATGTGTAGACAATTCGAAAAATAACTGTAACAAAATGGGGAACCAGAACAAAATATAATGTAACTCTTTGAAATTGTTTTCCAGCTTGCCAAAAACACCTCAGAAACAGCTTACTGATTTTATAGCTCTACGATTTCAGGATGGAGAATCTACATGGACCAATACTGCAAGTAATAGACTTATTGCCAAATAAGCTATGCTATTTCTTAAAGGTTCAATGTGTGCACGTAGCAGTGGACTGCTTTGGTACTGCCTGTAGTATAATGTCAGTGTATTCGTTGTGTCAATGTATTCTATTGGGAGATATTATGTACACTTCCACAAATTTTAATATCAAATCAGGAAAAAAAGACAGGGTGGTTAATGGTGGTGTGGGTTTTAACACTGCAAACCACTAGAGCAGAGGAGGAATACGACTGGACATCTTAGGCTCCTTTCCCTTACTGGATGGAGAGCCACCGTACAGAAGAGGGTTAGCAGATGCTTTTATGAGAAACCAGCTGGGGAGTGCTGCATTAGAAAAATGGATAATTAGCAATGATAGAATTGTTGGTATAAAATTAAAATACATTTTCTAGAGAACCACAACCTAATTTTCCCTAGATTATCTCCAGATTCCTTTCCTATGAAAGAAAATCATTCTTCTGATGTTTCCTTATAGTCTTATATCCATAGCAACTGAATTCGCTATTCCTAACAACAATAAAATATATGAATATTTTTAAAAGAAAACATTTCAGAAAATAGACAATTTATGAACAGGGCTTAAGGAAATAAGAGCAAACAAATTTTGAACAGAGTAAATTAGGAAGTTAGGAGCACTGGTTTTCCCTGCCACTACACTGTGCGAATTCTGAACAAGTTAGGGAAAAGAAGCAATACATGTTTCACATGTTTTCACAATGTTAAATAAAGATAATTAAGACATATTCAGTCTCCTCTTGGCCAGTTCAAATTTAAAATCCCCAAAACTTTGTAAATTAAAAAAAAAATTAATGTAAATATTTTTGCAAATATGTAAAGACCCATAGCACACTTACTATTAATATTGCTAGAAAAGTTAGAAACCGTGACTGTGACCAATAAAAAATGAATTTGCAATTTCTAAGATATACTTATTACTTCTATTCTAATGATTTTTCCTGTATTTTCTGATTATTCTGTATAATGCTTTTGTGTCATTATAATGATAAAATGGTTCACCTGGCATAGGACTTGATCCAAATATAGATAAACAGTCTAAAAGGACAGTTAAATTTATTCGAAAAGTAACAGACTCTTCCTGAACTATAAACTCTTGAAATATTCCAGCCTGTGAAAAAAAGGAAATATGAAAATGCATATGTATTAATGAAAACTCAGAAGGTTCTATAGTTCACTTTATGTTTTAAAAATAATATTATGCTAATTCCATCAAAATTTCTGATTACCAAGAAAAACATCTTAAGCTTTTTCAACTATTATCCTTTAGAATAATACTACTCAGTAGTTAACGGTGTAACAGTGATTTCGGTACCATGCAAAACTTTATGAAGGATCCTTTATCTAGTTTCTTGGATCTAAACTATCATCCACATGACCCCCTTGTCTCATTTTTATGCCCATCAATAGGGCTAAAGTCATTTGGAAAATAGCCAAACATTTGATAATGCGTAAGTGATACTAGTTTTCAACTTCTTTTGAGGACAGAAAACATATCTATCCCCCTATACCTGACATCACACTGTGCATTTAGGTGTTCAAAAAACGCTGGATTAATTCTGAAATGCTATCTGAACCACAAAAATATTACTTTGTAAGAATAAACATTTTATTATCACCAATAAAAGGGAAAAGTGAAATAGTGGCCAAGAGCATATACTCTGGAAACAAATGTCTGGGCTTTCAGCTCAGCTCAGCTCAGCGACTTGCCAACTCTGGAACTGATGGCAAATCACTTAAACTGGGCCTCAGTTTCCACACACATAAAATGGGAATAATAACAGAACCTATCTGATAGGACTACTGTATTAAATGAGTTAAGTATCTAAAACACTCAGAATAGTGCCTGCCCCATAGTTTAGCTTAGTAAAACTTAGACATTATTATTACTAACCATTATCTCTATAAAACAAGAAGAGAATTTGCCAGGAGAAAGAATTCAAATACACTGTTCTCTAACTTAAATGATGTCTATTAAGCCCTGTGGTATTCATTAAACTGGGTGAATTATATCGTATGTCATAGGCTTAAAGATACCTGTTTGCATACCTGAATAAAAGCATTTGCTTGCACACACTTTGCATTTTCCACTGTAACCTTGATTCCATTTTTAGTAGCGAAACAGGTAGCGTGTTCTCGGAAATGAATAGCCTTCAAGACAGTGGAGAGATTCCTAACGTTGTCAAGGCTGGCCACTAAGCTGTAATCATTCTCATCTTGGATCTGTGGAGTTAGGAGGGGCATGTCCACTGCTCATCTGGCCCCAAGGGACGTTCCCGGTGCCGACACCTGCTGCTGCGGATCGCGAAACACCTGATGAGATTCGACAATAAAACTCCGGATCAATGCCCGCAAGGCTCGCGAAGTCAACCTGCGCTGAGGCGAGGTGGAAGAGGCCTGGGTATTAAACTCGGCCGGACAGGGACTGGACCCACCTCTGTCACTGTAACTCTCTGTAACTCTGGGGGAAATTACACCTGTCTCTACGCTACGGTTTCCTCGTCTTTAGTAAGGGGCCAGTAACACAGGAAAAGTTGTGAACAGAGGCAACAGGCAACTACCACGGTAGTTCTACTTGAGGCCAGTTTCGCCACGCCAAGCTGGGGCTGCGTGTCCCCGCAGAGTCGGGTTTGAGCTGTCCGGCGCCCCCAACCTTGCCCCTAACAGAAAAGTCGATGGGGGGCGGGCCCCAGTTTCTCGGAAGATCCTCCGGCCCCCGAGGCGCGGAAACCTTACCTTTGTGGCGGGGTCCGGGCGTCCGACAGCCCTTCGCAGCCAGGGGGAAGCGAGCCGCGCTTCCCGAGTAGGTGTGGAGGGAGTAGAGCTGCTCCCGCCACTCTTTTCAGACCAGACAGCCACTGCGGCCTCCGTCACCACAGAGCTAGAGGTGGCCTAGAGAGGCGCGAGTGCGTTACGAGAAACCGGAAAGAGGTACCATAGAGCCGGGGGACTGCAGAGCCGAGCGTACGGTATCATAGAGATCGGAAAGGGGAGCGAGCGGCGGAGCCGGAAGGAAAGCCGAGACCGAAGGAGATCGGGCAAGATGGCGGCGACCAAGAGGAAGCGGCGTGGAGGCTTGGCTGTTCAGGCGAAAAAACCAAAAAGGAACGAGAAAGATGCCAAGCAGCCAGCTAAGCTGCGCGACGTGGCAGAAGAGACGAAGGAAGAGGAGAGAGACCGTATTCCAGGCCCCGTTTGCAAGGTAGAGGAAGCTTGCCTCCTGGCTGCACCTGCAGCTGCGGCTCTGCGCGCCGTCCCTGGGGCTGTCTACCTGAGGAGAGCCCTGCTGATTTCGGAGTTGCCTGTGAGGCGAGCTCGGTCTCCGCTCACCTCCCAGTCGGACAGGGCACTGCGCTTACAGCTAGCTCTCATGCACGTGGCCGCCCTCCGGGAGGCGGCCGGCTGGGGAAGTGGGTGGCCTTCGGAACACTTACCCGGTCTTAGGAGGCGACTTACGGGGTACTCAGCCTCAGTGTTCTCTTCTAGTAACTCCATTTCCCCCCTTGCGGGTGGTATTGCTTTTCCTTAAAGTTATTTCTCGCTTTTGAGTATATTTATTCCAGTGGTTAGGATTCCCTCATTCTGCGTTAGTTACTGTCAGTCGGAGATCCTGAAGCTTGTTATGCGGTCCTTTGAAGAGTTCATGTCCTTGGGATATTGACTTTGACTTCCGTGATCAAGTCTTTAACTTTTAAGGGATGATGAAAACTAGACTGGATACAATGAATTTTTCTTTGCATTCAAATTTGTAATATGTCAGGCGTGCACGAAGCTAATATGTTAGGTTTGGGATTGCTAAATTAGAATGTGACTCCTTTCTGAAGTGTTGGGAGTTTAGAGAGAAACTAATTCATGTAAGTCCACGGTTTGTGTTCAGAAGACGGTGAACACAAGTTGTTGGGCCTAACTTCCATTCCTTAAGCTAGATCGAATACTGTGGAGACAAAGATGGTCTTTGACTTATTCCTGTTTTGATTGTGTCTACTTTCCTAACCCTTAGCTTAGTACTCTAGCAGGTAGTAGGTGATAAATAACCACATACGGTGGTGGCAAGCACTAGGAAAGGAGTTAGCTTTGAGGGATAAAAAACGAATTTAAATTCTAGCTCTGCAGTTAACTCATGGCTTCATTTTGAGCTCTTTTCTCATCTGTAAATTAAGAGGAAGAAAATGTGTTTTACTTTTTGTGAAGAATAAGATGGACTTCTAGAAGATTTTCAGTAAATGTTAATGCTCTCACTCTCCTTCAGTTGGAAAGAAATATGGTAGTTATCTATGATCTGAGCCATAATATGAAAAATTGTATGGAAGTGCTTAAGATAGAGGTTGATTTTACTCTAGAACAGCGAGGTCGTGAAGGATTTAGCCCTTGAGCTGGATCTCAAAGTGAAGGCACAATTTCAATATTCAGTATTCAAAAATGAATGATCAAAGGCAGTGAAATGGAGGGAAAATGCTGAAAATAAAAAAAAAAAGCCAAATTAACTGAAAGGTAGGGTTGATTTGGGGCATAGTGAGGTAAAAAATATATTTTATAATCTAGTGTTATAGCGATGTCATTTTGGAGTTTGATTAGAACATCCAGGGAGGTTAAGGATGTGATAGAACCAGTGCTTTAAAAAGATTAAGCTGTTGCTATAGTTCCCCTGTATCTATTGGAGAAACCCCTGTCTGGAAAGGCTAGCATTTAGGAGATTTAAGGTGATAAGGATCTGTTGAGAATATGACGCTCAGGACACTGAAGCAATCTGCTTAAGGTCGCACAGTAGTGGCTCTACTTACAATACACACATTTTTTGGTGTGTTTTTCAATACTTCTAAGTTAATTCTCTGTAACCTAAGGGATGTCTTTGTAATAAAAGTGTTAAACTCAGAAAAAAAAAAAAAGATGATAAGGATCTGAATGAGGGTACTGTGAAAGGGAAGGGATTAAGAGTTGTTGCAAGGAAAAATTGACAGCATTTAGAAGTGCTTATGATATAGGATAATAGGGCAAATGGATAATTTAAAGCTTGGGGGATGGAAATTATGGTGGCATCATCAGAAAAATAAACAAGAAATTTACTGTATTTAAGGTTTAGTATCCCTAGAGTTGAACTTGAGGTATTAAGTCAAATACTTGGATTATTAGGAGTGGGGAGAGTTCCTTACCTTTCCATAGATTGGACGATTGAAGCTATGGAATGATTATGAGAACTCTGTCCTGGAGAGAACAAAAATAAAAAGAGGGTTAGGAATCTTTAGAGTCAGGAGGAGGAATTGGAGAGATGGAAGAAGAAAAACCAAAAATGAAGAAAGTCAGAGAAAGCGTTTCTGGGAGGCAGCTGTGGTCGGTGAATACCACTGAGAGATTGTCAGGATTGTTCGGTCTGCTACCTGGAAGCTTTTTATGAATGTTATTGTGTCTCTCTACTTGCCATATGTAACTTTTTTTGTTGTTTTTTTAGGAGTTAACTTTTCCATTGGCTGTATTATTTTATTAGAACCAAGAGCTACCTTTACCTTGCTTCTTTAGATAGAGGATCTAAATTTTGTCTGTTAGATAAAACAGGGACTTTTAAGTTTCCTTTTTTTGCCTCATCACATGATGCCATGATGCTTTGCCACTTCTGTCTTATATGACAGATATGTTGTGGTTCCCTAAGGATTTCATGCTGTTCTTGCCTCCATGTCTTCACTGATTTGCTTGCTTGTTGACTGTCTTCTCACATAAGAACAGTGCCTGACTCCTGGTAGGAACCTAGTAAATATTAAGTTAATACTAAAGTTCTCTTGTGAAAGAAATATTGACTAGAGTTCATTCTGCTTTCAGCAGTGGAAAGATTCTGTAGTGAAACATCTGTCTGAATTACACACATGGGAGAGAGGCAGAATTAAGCATGTAGTATGGATACATTAGAGGATAGTACAGTACTTAAAAACTGGATACTTTTAAAACTATCCTTGAAAAAACAAACAAGGTACGTTCAGTGTGAGATTTAAAAATCCTCACATTTTCTTTTTCTTTAGGGCAAGTGGAAAAATAAGGAACGGATTCTTATCTTTTCTTCTAGAGGAATAAATTTCAGAACAAGACATTTAATGCAAGACTTGAGAATGTTGATGCCTCATTCTAAAGCAGGTGCCTTTATATCCTACATTTTAAAAGTTCTTATATGTTTATGTATTTTTATTTTCAATCATTGTTCAACCTTGTCATTTGTTCAGTTTTATCAGGTAAAGAACTACATCGCCTCAGAAGTTCATCTTTTCAATAACAGGATTTTTCCAATGAACATTTTGTTAGAAATTCTTTGCAAAATTCGTTAAACATTCCCTTCACTTTCTTAGATATCCTGCTATTAATTATCAAAACATTTTTCGAGGATCCTTCATTGTAATGCTCTCAGAGGTTACAAGCTGGTTTGTCCTTCTAAATAATTCAGGACTGCCATGTATTGCTATCTGCATTTTTTTTCTAACTGTTCTTGGGATTCCTGGGTGGCCCAGTTGGTTAAGCCAACTCTCTTAAGCCAACAATCTGGCTCTTGGTTTTGGCTGTTGGATCGAGTCCCATGTCCAACTCTGCACTGACAGAGCGGAGCCTGCTTACAATTCTCTCTCTCCCCCTATCTTTCTCTGCGCCACCCCTGCCCACTCTTTCTCCCTCTCTCTCTCAAAATAAATAAATAAACTTAAAAAAAAACCTGTTCTTATTAAAAAGTTAATGGACTGGAGTAGGATTTGAAGCACCTTTAATTTGGGGCTCAGCCTACTTCTAAATGCCAAGATACTCTTTTTGGCAATGATGTATCCTGCAGTCAAGTGAAGTTTTAAGCTTAGAAGTGTGGCAGTACCAGGGTGCCTGGGTGGCTCAGTCGGTTAAGCGTCCGACTTCAGCTCAGGTCATGATCTCACCGTTTGTGTTCCAGCCCCGCGTCGGGCTCTGTGCTGACCGCTTGCTCAGAGCCTGGAGCCTGCTTAGGATTCTGCGTCTCCCTGTCTCTCTGCCCCCTCCCCGACTTGTGCTCTGTCTCTCTCTCTCAAAAATAAATGTAAAAAAAAAGGTGTGACAGTACCACCATACAGCCGCTCTTGTGTCTGTGTTGGAGGGAGCTTTTGGCTCTAATTCTAGGTGATAGCTTTGTTCCTTCGACGACTGTTTCTCAAACTGAGAACAGCTATTACTGCTGTATACTGCTTTGTATCTCTAAAACTAATAAGAGATTGATTTATATATTTTTTTCTGTGATGATCTAAAACTTGTTTTTCAATCCATCTCCTTTGACAACTGTGATTCAAGACTGAAAGAAATTTTCTTCAGTTCAAATTTTAGTTTCTTCAGTGAATGTTCCTTAAACTGCAATCCTAGAACATAGTCTTTGTGAGAATGTTTCCTTATTTGAAAGGGACTTAAAGAATATGTAAAGTTGATGAGAAACACTGCTTAGGTCATAGTTTATGATTCTTGAGGACTATCTTTTTTTTAATTTATTTTATTTTATTTTATTATTTTGTTTTTTTTTTTTTACATTTACTTATTTTTGAGAGAGAGAGAGAGACAGAGCACAAGTGGGGGAGGGGCAGAGACAGAAGGAGACACAGAATCCAAAGCAGGCTCCAGGCTCCAAGCTGACAGCACAGAGCCCAACGCGGGGCTCGAACCCACAAACAGTGAGATCATGACCTGAGCCAAAGTCGTCGGACGCTTAACCGACTGGACCACCCGGGCACCCCTTGAGGACTATCTTTAATCAGTCATTTTTTTATAAAAAATGAACATTTTTTAAATGGTCATGTGTTTTTAGGTCTAATAATTTTGAAAATTAATGAAGTCTGGGGAGCCTGGGTGGCTCAGTTGGTTAAGCATCCAACTTTGGCTCAGGTTATGATCTCATGGTTCGTGAGTTCAAGCCCCACGTTGGGCTCTGTACAGCTCGGAGTCTGAAGCCTGCTTCAGATTCTGTTTTTCCCTCTCTCTCTGTGCCTCCCCCGCTCACAACTGTCTCTCTCTCTCAAAAATAAAACCATTAAAAAAAATTTTTTTTAATTAATAAAATCTTTTAAACTGACGATTGTAAAAACAGTACTTTTTTAGAAAGAATGCGATTTGTTTTAATTAACTTTGAAATCTTATTTTTTCTTTTTTAGATACGAAAATGGATCGTAAAGACAAGTTATTTGTGATTAATGAGGTAATTTTAGATAGTAATTCAAGTAAAATATTCTAGGAACACTAGGAACAATATTTTGGAACACTAAAGATAGTTCATTTAAAGAATAAATCTGTTACTCAGTGACTTTTAAATTGTTTTGTAAAAGATACTCAAATTTTATTAACTCTTCAATAATCTGCCTTACAAATTTTTGTATACTCACTGTCTATATCTCACAGTTTAGTGCTTCACTATATATATTTCTTAATCATTCATATATTTGTCTTATCTCACCAACCGTACTGAAATTTCTGGAGGACAAGGATTTTATCTTATCCTTTTTTTTTTCTTATCATGTACAGTACAGTGCTAAATTCATGGTAAGTGCTTATTAAAAAAAACTGTCAACATGTACAAAGTAAATTAAAAATTCATTAATTATTTTTGAAACCACACATTTTAAAAAAGTTTTTTGCCAGTATTAAAAGTGAAACACATGGTATTTGCTCTTAAGATACTATAGGTTAGTGGGGCGCCTGGGTGGCGCAGTCGGTTAAGCATCCGACTTCAGCCAGGTCACGATCTCGCGGTCCGTGAGTTCGAGCCCCTCGTCGGGCTCTGGGCTGATGGCTCAGAGCCTGGAGCCTGTTTCCGATTCTGTGTCTCCCTCTCTTTCTGCCCCTCCCCCGTTCATGCTCTGTCTCTCTCTGTCCCAAAAATAAATAAACGTTGAAAAAAAAAAAAAAACCTTTAAAAAAAAAAAAAGATACTATAGGTTAGTAATAGGTTACTTTTCCAAGTATTGTTGAAGATACTGAGCTTAAATTTTTAAGCAAATTTTTTAAAAGTTAGAAGTGTTTTCAGATAATTTTCTTTTCATATTAGAAAGGCTTATTTAGCACAGATATTTGAACCTCTGCTATATATTCTAGTGCATTATTCTAGTGCTGTGGAAACTGTTTAACAAAACACCACCACTGTGTCCATTGGGGCTCACATTCTAATGGGGGATTCAGTTCATGAACAAGTATAATTCCAAGTGAAGATAGGTGGGAAAAAAAACAGGGTATGAGTTTCCAGTAACTGAGGCTTGACTAGAAAACAACCAACTTAGTGTTACTGTTCTAAGACCAATAAGAAACAAAAGCATTGGACCTATCACTTTAAGTTGTTAGGTTAAAAGTCTCAAGTAGTTGAGAGTTGATGAATATATATTGATTTATGAATATTACAGTAATATAAACCTTCAGGATGTTGAAGTTTAATTCAACTTGAAATAAGTTTTCTGTATTTCTCCCTTTCACTAGTCCTTTAGTGACTTTGCAAAACTGAGTACAGATGAGGAAAAAAAATCTTAAATTTCTTGAGCTTCAAATCAAAACGCTGAAGAGTTAAAAATAAAAATAACTAGGGGCGCCTGGGTGGCTCAGTTGGTTAAACGTCCCAAATGCAGCTTAGGTCATGATCTCACGGTTTGAGTTCGAGCCCCACTTCGGGCTCTGTGCTGACAGTACAGAGCCTGGAGCCTGCTTCAGATTCTGTGTCTCCTCTTTCTCTCTGCCCCTACCCCGCTCTCACTCTGTTTCTCTCTCAAAAATAAATAAACATTAAAAAAAATTAGAATAACCATCATAGGGGTCCCTGGGTGGCTCAGTGTCTGACTCTGGATTTCGGCTCAGGTCACGATCCCAGGGTTGTGAGATCAAGCCCCACATCAGGTTCTGTGCCGAGCTGGAGCATGCTTAAGATTCTCACTCTCTCTCTCCCTATGCCCCTCTCCCCCACACATGCACTCTTTCTCTCTCTCTCTCTCAAGTAAAAAAATAATAATAATAAAAATAGCCCTTATAAAGGATGTATTTGGTTCTTTAAGGACTGTATTTTCCTAAGATCAGTGAGGCTGATTGTAGTGTGCTTTATCCCTAGGACATCTTTTTTTTTTTTTTTTTTTTTTACTTTTTGTAGGCTATACCTGGGAGTATGGTCGGAAGAAGAGGTTGCCAGTAAGCAGAGAAGAGGCCAGAGTATCTAGTTTACTTTAGGCAGAATACCTAAGAGAAACTTTAAATGGATGTTGTGGTGAATTTACCTAGATTTAGACCTTTGTAGCCTATTAATCTGCTTAAGTGTTTTGGAGGAGTCTAGATATTAATTGCATTGAATTGCTTTGGTTCTCATTTTTATTGTCTATTTCATTTTTCTATACTTTGTTTAGGTTTGTGAAATGAAAAACTGCAATAAATGTATCTATTTTGAAGCTAAGAAAAAACAGGATCTCTATATGTGGTAAGAGTATGTATTAAGTAAGATTTTGGTGGAACTGTTCTTATAAATGGATTATTTGCATCTCTTAGGTTATATATCTCTTTCAGTCTTTTATAGAAAAAGACTGGGCCAGGGGATGAAGCAAACTCATTTGATTTCATGAAAGTCAAAACTTTTAAAGAAAATTAAATGTGTGGATATTACAAGCATGTTACGGTGTTTTTTAAACCATGAGGTAGTAAGAATTTGCTACATTCTAAATTCTAATTAGTTGAAAAAACTCCATATTTTTCAGGCTTTCAAATTCACCTCATGGACCATCTGCTAAATTCCTCGTTCAAAATAGTAAGTTGACTCCATTTAAGATTTTTTTTTAACGACAAAATTGAAAATGCTCTTTTGGGATAATTGTGCTAAACATAACTTTTTATTGTTATTTTTCTAGTTCATACCCTAGCTGAACTGAAGATGACTGGAAACTGTTTGAAAGGTTCTCGGCCCCTTTTGTCTTTTGACCCTGTAAGTATCTCATTTAGTGTATGAGGTCTAATTTTCTTACTCTGCATGGTGGTTTTTTAGTGGATATAGTTGTGTAATTGAGTTAAAATTTTTTAAAAATCCACAATTTTAAACAAAACACTGTTGTCAAATAATATGTTCACTTTATTTTTTTAATAGGCTTTTGATGAATTACCGCATTATGCTCTGTTAAAAGAACTCTTAATTCAGGTAACTATCTTTTCTAGAAAGTATTTTTAGTAATATAAATGAGTGTCTCCTTTGGACTTTTTGTTAATTTAGCTATCTAAAACATACATGGAATGTGGCAGAATAAGAAACTGACATATCATTTATTTTTATTTTTACTAGATCTTTAGTACACCACGGTATCATCCCAAAAGCCAGCCATTTGTGGACCATGTGTTTACTTTCACCATTTTGGATAATAGGATATGGTTTCGGAACTTTCAGGTTAGCTTTAATTAATTTTTAGTTACACTTTGAAATGAAGTAGGATATATAATGCTTTGTGAAAATGTAAATAATAATTCATTTTGTTTTATTTTATTTTTTTTTACGTTTATTTATTTTTGAGACAGAGAGAGACAGCATGAACGGGGGAGGGGCAGAGAGAGAGGGAGACACAGAATCGGAAGCAAGCTCCAGGCTCTGAGCCATCAGCCCAGAGCCTGACGCGGGGCTCGAACCCACAGACCACGAGATTGTGACCTGAGCTGAAGTCGGACGCCTAACCAACTGAGCCACCCAGGCGCCCCTAATTCGTTTTGTTTTAAATAGCTTTTTGCCCCGACAGACTTGTAGCAATTAACTACTGTCTCATACTTCTCTACATGGCTATCAGTTGTTATGGAGTAAGGTTTTTCTAACAAGCAACTATATATTCAGTAAAATAAAAGTTTCTCTCCAGAGGTTGGAATCTGGGGGTAGAGGGTATTAAGACTTCGAAAAACATGGTCCCTGTCGAATTCGTTCAATGGGAACTATAAGATGAATCATACAGTGTTTTAGGAGAGGTGACTCTGGAAATCTTGAAGCAGGAGTTTGGCAGGATGGTAAGTCTGCAGAAAAGTGGAGAGGTAGAAAGAACAGCAAGACCACTTCAGACAGCATTGAAAGTAACCTAGGCTGTTTTTTGGACACCTGCGTCGTTCAGTCAGTTGAGCGTCCAACTTCGACTCAGGTCATGATTTCCCAGTTTGAACCCTGCATCCAGCTCACTGCTGTCAGCCTGTCAGCACAGAGCCCGCTTCAGATCCTGTCTCCCCACCCTTTTCTCTGACCCTCCGCCTGCTTACTCTTTCTCTCAAAATATAAAAAACATTAAAAACCAGTTATCTGGTTGGCTCAGTCGGTTATGCATCCGACTTTGGCTCAGGTCATGATCTCACGGATCATGAGTTTGAGCCCCACATTGGGCTTGCTGTTATCAGTGCAGAGCCTGCTTCAAACCCTCTCTGCCCTCCCTGCTCCTGTGCTCTCTTTCTCAAAAATAATTTTGTTTTTATTTTCATTAATTTTCAAGTTTTCTTTTTTTTTTTTTTTTAATTTTTTTTTTCAACGTTTATTTATTTATTTTTGGGACAGAGAGACACAGAGCATGAACGGGGGAGGGGCAGAGAGAGAGGGAGACACAGAATCGGAAACAGGCTCCGAGCCATCAGCCCAGAGCCCGACGCGGGGCTCAAACCCACGGACCGTGAGATCGTGACCTGGCTGAAGTCGGACGCTTAACCGACTGCGCCACCCAGGCGCCCCTAATTTTCAAGTTTTCTTAAATGTTTATTTATCACATAGAGACACATAGAGAGACAGAGACACAGAATCCCAAACAGGCTCCAGGCTCTGAGCTGTCAGCAGAATGCTCAACGTGGGGGCTCCAACTCATGAGCCATGAGATCCTGAGCTAATGTTGGATGTTTAACCAACTGAGCCACCCAGGTACCCCTAAAAAAAAAAAAAAGTAAAAACCTAGGCTGTTTTCTGCATTGTTGTTCTATTGGATACCTTGCAGTGTAAGTTAAACATATCCCCTTAACCTCTGAGGACAGACATACCTGAACCAACACTGTTAGTATTTGTAGCTCAGAAGTTGCCTCTTAATTTGACAATCAGCAGCCATTCAAAAATAAATTTGGACATGTATCCTTTTATATACCTCTTAATCTAATTTGAATTAGATGTATAAATACAATTTAGGGGTTGGCTTAAATTTTAAAAGGGTTCCCCCATAAGGTGCTTTAATACATTTTGTTATAGTGGTCGCAATTTTAAACATTCATTTAACCACAGTTTTTCAAGAATACGTGCATTGTGGGGCGCCTGGGTGGCACAGTCGGTTAAACGTCCGACTTCAGCCAGGTCACGATCTTACGGTCCGTGAGTTCGAGCCCCGCGTCGGGCTCTGGGCTGATGGCTCAGAGCCTGGAGCCTGTTTCTGATTCTGTGTCTCCCTCTCTCTCTGCCCCTCCCCCGTTCATGCTCTGTCTCTCTCTGTCCCAAAAAAATAAATAAACGTTAAAAAAAATTTTTTTTCAAAAAAAAAAAGAATACGTGCATTGTGAGAAGCCAGGTAAAGACCAAATTGAAATTACTCAATTTTAAAAGAACACGCTGAAAAAAATGTAAATATTTTCCCATGACAATTACCAGTACCTAGTAAAATATTTCAGAAAATACTGATAATTTGGCCAAGTTTTCACTTCCACCTTAATTGGCTTTCACTTCTTTTAGGCATATTTGTAATGAGGTTAAAGCCAGGGTAACTTTTAGGAACAGTATATCCAAACCAAAATGAAATATTTCCTTTGTATTAAAGATCATAGAAGAAGATGCAGCTCTTGTAGAAATAGGACCTCGTTTCGTCTTAAATCTGATAAAGATTTTCCAGGGAAGTTTTGGAGGACCAACTCTATATGAAAATCCTCACTACCAGTCCCCAAACATGGTAAGCTATTTTTGTTGTTTAGTGGTTTCTCGGTGCCCGGGGAACTCTGGCCAAAGTAATTCTGTCAAGTGATTTCTGTTAAACCATGAAACTTAATTTGTTTTTTGCTGCATACAGCCTTGCAGATGACTACTTTTTTTAATGACATGAGTGAAGGGGAAAATACGATTCACAAGTGAATGTCCTCACCGTATATAATGTTTATTTTTAGTTTGAAAGTATCTGATGATATTTTTTTGTTTTTTTAGCATCGGCGTGTCATAAGATCCATCACAGCTGCAAAATACAAAGAGAAACAACAGGTGAAAGATGCGCAGAAAATGAAAAAGAAGGAACCAAAGACTGTTCTTCCACATGATCCCACTGCAGATGTTTTTGTTATACCAGCTGAGGAAAAGCCAATAGAAATACAGTGGGTAAAACCAGAGCCTAAAGTTGATTTGAAAGCAAGAAAGAAAAGGGTTTACAAAAGGCAAAGAAAAATGAAACAGAAGATGAATAGTGGGAATACAAAATGAATCAGTGGATAACTAACTTTTCAGTAATTTTGTATTTATTTTGTATTCAACGTGTAAATACTTTTATTATCTAGGACTACCTTATATCTTATTAGTGTGGCATGTAAGACAAAGAAAAATCAAAATTTGTGGCTTCAGTGGTGTGTGTGTGTGTTTTTTTTCTAAATATCCCCAGAACTCGTCAGTTAATTTCTGGGGTTTTTTTCAAAGCTTATTTGGTATTACTAAAAATTTAGCACACTTAAGATTTAGGCCTGCTGTGTTGGATTAAAATTTGGGGGTTAACAAAGCTGAAATTGAAACAGATTTGTTGGGTCATTATTACTTATAAAACAATGCATTAGGCACTTTGAGAGTTTAGTTTTAGATGGTAAAGTGCAGGTAAGGAAAGCATCTTAACTGAAGTTGGAGTCACCGAGTCCCCAATTAATGAGGTGTTGGAAAAGCCAATCTCTGATCTTGTTTTCTCACCTCAAGAAAGAATACAATTAAAATTCTTAGATTTTGAGAATCAAATGGGTTAATACATGTGTTAAAAGTATTTTGTGGATTAGAGATTTAATTTAGAAGCAGTGGGTATAAATTACTTAATAAATTAGCAGGAAGAAAAATGGAACGAACAGTAGTTAGAGGGCAGCAGAACATCTAAATTTCTCCCCTTATGAAATAAGAGCTGTTTGACCATCCTGCAACATTAAGACCTTGTGGTTCCCCTAAATACTGTACTTCACCAAGTTTAGTGTTCATTTATTTACTTTCACCCTGGACAACAGGGAAAATTTTTTGTTAATTTGGTAGGTTAAAAAAGGAATACCTTTTTTTTGGCTGGGTATTGGTTTTTATTTTGTGACTAACCAACCTTGTTTTTGTGTGGTAGTTCTCTTTTACTAATTTGTCAAAGGTGTTACACAGCAAGGTTATCCTAGACATCTTTCCTAGTTCCTCACTTGTATTTTAATTTTGTTCTGTATTTTAAATCTAGGCAGAACAAACAGTTTTCCACTATATTTCATTTTTTAATTATCTTCAAAGAAACGTCTTGAATGTGCAATTAGGCTACTTTATTTTGAAATAGTCTAAATTAGGCTATCTTGAAATCTAAATCAAACAGGTAATTCAGAGGTTCATATTTTTTTGTTCATTTATTTTGAGAGAGAGAGGGAGAGAGGATCCCAGGCAGGCTCCAGGCTGTCAGCGCAGAGCCCAGTGTTGGGCTCAAACCCACAAACCGATGTTTGACTGACCCAGGCGCCCCCCAGAGGTTCAGTTTAAATACTTGTGTGTGGTTAATGAAGGCTAAATCTGGTTAAGTGCGGGGGGGGGGGGCGGGGCCGCGAGGTAGCTTATTTATTTAGGCAATTAAATATATCCCAGGATGAAAAGAAGTTGTATTCATGATTTGAATTTAAACACCCATATCCTAATAAGTTAATTATAGGTTATAAGAAAAACTGGCTCAACAAGTTAGGAGTTTGAGTGAAGACCCAAATTTTTAACACTTTTGGAGGTGTTTTAGAGTTGTAGTGGAATTTCCATTTAACAAGTTTGATTATCAGTTTCTACATATTTTCCTATCCCAAATTACCTTTCACAGTCATTTATGTGGGTGCCTCATTTGAATGAGAATTCCTCTTTCAAGTCCTGTTCATTTAGAAGTCAACTTACATAATAAAGGTAATCCTTTAAACAAATTTATATCCAGTGTAATTGTCTTTACATCTCTATACAATATTACAGGAAAAACATCCCTCTTCTTTCAGGAGGAGAAAGGCAAATAAATGGCAGGTTGTAAGCAAAACCAGATGTAGTCGGAGGAAGAAAAAAGTTCTGTGTCAATTTTTGTCTCCTTGCCCCCAGTCCCATTCTCCAAAGGGGAAAGTTTCCATTTTTCCCTGTAGTGAAACTCTTCAATCCCTCTCCATTGCCAGCTTACAAACTAAGGCTGTATAGTATCTTCCTTCTTTGAAAAAGAGGCTGGAGTATGAATTTTGAGTGTGAGTTGGTTGGACTGTGGGGAAAATGAGGTTTAGGGTTGGCTTGTTTTGATAAGGTGCAGGGGGCAGGCTATTAAGCAAGGGACAACCTTGTACAATAGATCTTAGCAATAGAGCCACCCCCTTCTCTAACTGTACATGGTTGACAAAATCTACGCCTAACAACTGATGCATGTAAACATTCCACATTGCAATGAAATAATGCTGGTGTATATATTTCACCAATATATTTTAATGACAATTACGATACTATTTTGACACCTCAAATTGGAACAGTTGTACAGATCGTCCATCCTGTAATAGTGTACCGGTTGGATTAACAAAAATTGGTTAAATACGATCCCTTAACTGCATTCTTTACCAATCTTGGAAATGTAGGATGAGAAGCCAGAAAGTTAGGATTAAAGAGTGATGGATGGATGGGTCAGCACAATTTTATCCATACTGGTGGTAAAACATTTGGTGTGTTACTTAAATGTCTTGGTGCTCTCTCACATTGTTCCAGTTTAAGGCTTATATTTACTGTTATTTCTCTGCGTGTGGGTCAGGATGAACAATGTTAGAGATTGCGATAATTGGCAGCTGAAAAAGAATTGAAGAGTTAAAAAACCTGGTGTTCCATCCAACTAATCCCATTGATTAGTTGGGGAGGTCTGAGCAAGTCACTCGACTACTTCGAGCCCGGGTTGCCTCATCTGTAAAAACAGGCTCTGCTGAGAAATTATCTTCAGAAAACAAGATGTTTTCCAGAATCCCATCAGACTTCTGTCAGCCCTCAGGTGGGCTGCCCAGTAGGTGCACCTTACACTGACCGCCTTCTGTGCCCCTCACAATGACGCCTATCGTGACCCCGCCTCCCACCTGCGGGCGGCCCCGCCTTCATCCCGCCGCGGCCCCGCCTCGCACCTGCCGTGGCCCTGCCTCCATCCGGCCGCGGCTCCGCCTCCCACCCGCCGTGGCCCCGCCTCCCTCTCGCGTAGCTTTTCCCGGAACCGAGCCCTCCCCCCGCCCATGCGGAGCCGCGGCCGCCGGCGCCGCCCCCTCCTTTCGCCCGCGTGCCGCAGCCCGCGCCGCCTGTCGCCGC